TGGAATTTTCTTGATACTTTAAGTTATAGGGAGAAAAAGAGGCTGACTAGAATTACTTAAGAGAATTCTTTAAAGATACCTTCTTTTTTTTTTTTTTTAACATACATACTCTCTTTCTGTTTAGAAGTGCTTATATAGGCTCACTAGTAAATTAGAAGTTCTGTGCTATTCCACAAAACGAAGCCCATCGTGGACTTTAAGAAATAAAACCAGGACTATGGAATATTTCCTGATGAAGTAAGGAGGTTGGTCTCTGGAAAACGAGTGGGTAGGACCTAAGTCAAATGAGGGTTTGCTGCGTCAACTCTGAGGCTCCTTACAGCTCTGGTCTCTATGACTCTTGGTGAATGCCTGGGGTTGAAGGGCGGAGTTCCTGTGCACTTATTTGGGGTCCACATAGCCCAAGCTAAGCAATGGCAGTTCATTAGTAAGGAGAATATGTAGAGATAAGGTAAATAAATGAAGTTTTAGAAATAAACCTCTGACTGACAGCAGAACTCTCAGTCCAATTGTAGGTCTATGCAGAGTGGACTAGCTCATGGTGAATGTTTTCCATCTTTGTCTTGTTCTTTCTGGAACTTAATTGCCTTTAGAATCAGTAAAAATTAAACCATGGCTAATCTTTGGTGATATGGAGCGGGGAAAGTTCTGAATTTTGGAGAGGAAAGGGGGTAGGTAGAAAGTAGAAAGGGAGAGGGAATGGGAGGGGGAAAGAGAGAGAGGGAGGAAGCGGGGAGGGATGGGGAAGGAGCGGGAAGGGACTGAGGGGGAGAGAGAATATAATAGCAGGAAAACAAAATGTGGCCCTCAGGGCTAGAATGAAGCCTTTGTTAGGGTAGTCTGCTACACCACTGAGATAATGATGGCTGAAATAGCTCCAATCACTCCCTTGCCTATTCTTGGGGTTAAGCTGGCTTTCAGTGTTGGAAAGAGGACCCAAGAGAAAAGTCTGAAATATTTGTTTTAGCAGAAGTGTTAAGCTTCTTGTGAGGAAGCAACGCCACTGAACGCGGAGATTGCCACCAAGAATTATCTGGACAACGGAGTTGCGAGGCAGGTCGTTCCTCCATGGCTAATGCATTAACGTGCTCAATTTCTGAGCACTCTGTTTACAAGTCGGGGAGACATTTTCATCACTGGGCAGTCGATCAGTCTTCCCAGAGAGTACTTTGACTTAGCTAAATGGACTGAGGGCAAGATTTAAGAAAGGTGTTTTTCTTGGCTTTATTTATCTATACTAGATTTTTAAAAAAGCAACATTCGTTTTGTTTTTCCAATGAATTTCAAATACTTCACAATATAGTGTGTTGCTTATATCAGATGTTCATTGTGTGACCAGATAAATGGAATTATGTTACGCTGAAAGTAAAGAGGCTATGGTCATCCTCTCAATCAAGGAAAATGCAGACAGGAAAAAAAACATTATGCTTGGTTCCTCATGCTTAGTTTCTCAGAATTGTTCAATTGTTACTCGCCACTCATCCAAGACATACAGTTTATTGGCTAAGAGAGCTTGCATTCTGCGTTCCTGCTGTCAGTACAGGTATTGAAAGAAGTCATGTAGATCCAAATTTGACCTCAAGTGGAAGAGAGAGTCAGCTGAACAAGGACTGTGAATGATTTTGCTGAGTGAATAATAACTTTTTCCCTCCTTCCTTTCCTTCTAGAGCGAATGCCTCACCTCCCGCAAACACTCTCTCCTCTGGGTGCCTATCATAGTAATCCCACATCTGTTTGTGGGTCTTGGCTGGGTAACTGAAGCAATATTTCCACAAAAGAATGAAGGTTTCTGAACATTTGCTCACAGTTCTCAGCATACAGCAGGAGACATTCACAAACATTTCTTAACAGGAGTGAGTGTAAATAAATGATTTTGTTTCAAAATTCAATATTTGAGAATTTGTTGGTTTTTTCCCATAATATCTCCCAAAATAGAGGCAGAAAAAGTTTGAAAAAAAATCCAATACTCATTAAAATCACAGACAGAAATTTGGATGGATAACACATTTCAAGATCCAAAAGGGTGGAGATAGGGTGGAAATATGAGCCAAATTTAAAGAGATGAAAATTAATAACCATGCACCTTCAGGATGGGAGAGAAATGGTTAAAACCAGCATGTGTAAACATAGCTAAAATTTCCCTCAGCTGTGTTACGTGAGTGCCAGAAAGGCTCATGCAATTTTAGATGCATTGTCCATGCTCCAACAGAAGCATACAAAAAAAAGGAAGCAATAATTTCACTCTATTTTGAGGTCACGCCCTGTGGGCAACCAGTTGACAAAGAGAAGAAGGAGAGTGTGGAGTGGTGAGTTTTAAAAACTTGGCACAAGCGGAATCTGGTTAGCTTTGGTGGGGGCAAGGAGAGTACTGGAGGGCACTAGATAAATACTTAAAGGACTATTATGTGGACCAGTTGAATTACATGTACTCGGGTGACTCCAGTAGAGACAGTATATAGAGATTGCAGAAAGACAGGTTTTAGTTCAATGTAGGAACTTTCTAGCAGTTTCCCCTCTAGGGGCATCCAGGAGTGGGTTTCTCAAGTTGCACATATTCAAGAGGCTGCATGGTCCCTTACTGAATATTTCCTATTGGGTTAATCTAGATGGGTCACCAAGGTCCCTTCTCTGTGGCTGTGACTCACTTGCCATGTTGTAGAGTAAAGCCAACTCAGTGAAAGAAGAAGAGAAATGCAGGTCAAGGTCTCTAATGTGGAACGGCCATCAGTATCCTCCCTTTTCACCAGGGCCTGTGGGGGAAGCAGTAGAGCAGCTGTCCGAGGTGCTGGAGGGAGGTGGCCTGGGTGGGCAGCTGTGTTCCTCTTTTTTATCATGTTTGTTTGAATGCCTTCTGTGTTTTCAGCTTTTCTGTTCCTTATATAAATCTATTCACTGCCCCCCACCCCCAGCCCATACACACGTATTAGGCCCTTAACTAAAACAGAGAGAGAAATGAGTAGAAAATGTGTAAAGGAGCTGAGCTAACCTACTCCCTGGGGCTTCCTCTGCCCTGTCCCAGCAGTAAATGAACCCATTTCACTTTCAAAGGTTAGGCTTGGTACCTAAAGTTGGACTGTTTGACTGGATTGATATTTAGAGTAGAAACCAATTGTTTTGAGACAACTGTACTGATTTGCTTCTTGATTTCTATATTTTATGGTTTCTACAGTATATACATATCCTGAATGAAGATAAGAATTTTAGGCAGAAAATTATTTTTACAGTGAGGTGGAAGGAATACTAAATACTTCAGCTAAACAGCTCTGCAGCCTTAGGTACACCCAGGAGTAGTGAGATGGTGATAAACCTGTCTTGTTCTTCACTCTCTGTATGTGTTCCTTTCCTATGCTACTTGATTTTTTTTTGTCCCTGAGTTTTTTCCCATCTATAAAATGGAGACAATAATAGCACCACTCCTTAGGGGTGTGAAAATGAAGTTAATATATATAAAGAACTTACAATACCAGGTGGATAAATAACAATTATTTGTTATTATATATTGTGTTTGGGGTCCTCAAGACCACCCTCAGGTTTGATAATTTGCTAGAAGGACTCACAGTACCCAGAAAAGCTGTTAGACTCACAGTTATGGTTTGTTACAGCAAAAGAATACAGATTAAAATCAGCAAAGGAAAAAGGCGCATTGGGGGGAATCCAGGAGCACTGGACCAGTTGCAAGCTTTCAGTTGTCGTCCCAGTGGAGTCACAGAGACAGAGCTTAATTCTATCAGCAATGATGTGTGACAACATGTACAAAGTGTCACCAAACAGGGAAACTCAACTGTGCCTTGGTGTCCAGGGTTTTTATTGGGGGCAGGGGTGGGGGGGTGAGTCACACAGGCATGCAGCGCATGCGTGACTGATGTTAGCTGCTCAGTCTTCTGCGCCACCCTCCCCACCCCCCCGCAAGAGGTACAACTGATACAGTGTGACCCAAAGCCCAGGCACACAAAAACAGGCATTCACTATAAATCACATCGTTAGCATAAACTACATGGCATGGCCCAAAGTCTCAGGTACACAAAGACATTTTTATCAGGCAGGATACTCCAGGGGTTCAGAGGAGCCAGTCAAGGGACAGTCCTGAAGACTTTTGGAATGTGGGGGGTTTGGGTAACTCAGGCCTCCCGAGTTAACCATTTACGTCACTTATATGTAAATTTTGCTTTTGAATTAACTAATTCAACCATTTTCCTAATGGTTTGATTTTTTTTTTTAGTAGTAACATTTATTGAATGTCCACTGCATGAGTCATTTTTATAACCTTCTCTATAAGCTGGAAAATAATTTTAGTTTCAATCCATATTATAAACTCAGGAAAGAAATCGTTATTACTCCAATATGAAAGGACTGAAACTAGAGATCACTACTGTTATTGCAATAATGGTGATAACAGAGTGCACTGTAAATTTTAACTATAATTACATATCAAATGCTTTACGTATATTATTTTAGTCCTTATCAACAACTGTGGGAGGTAGATAATAGTTCTATTTTACAGGAGAGAGAACAAAGGTCCAAAGAATTTTAAGAACTCCCTGGAGGTTCCTCAGCCAGTAAGGGGTAGATCAACTTTTACCATCTGATTCCAAAGGTCATGGTCTTAACATCTTGCATGACAGTTTCCTATGACCTTGAGAAACAAAGGCTCTAAAAAGCATTTTGAAACATTAAGAATCCAACACATTTTATTTGACTTTATACATCTCAAGATTCACAGAATGTTTAGACAGTGGGGCAGAGATGTGGCTAGAACATGTGTTCCTTTCACCAACAGAAGAGATTTCTGCAAAGAAGATTGCAAGATGCCTCTCCCCATAAAAATGTGGTGAAGAAGACACAAAAGCAAGGAAAACATACAAAAGGGGGGAGATTATATAGTTACTTTGAGTGTCTTGATTAACAAGGGGAACATAAAATCTGAATGCCCTCCAAAGTTCCAAAATTGTTGCCACCATGAATGGTTTGTAATCATATCTTTTTCCTTTCCCTATTATTAGATCTCAGTCTGTGGTAGAAGCTGGGACCCTGAAACATGAGGAAAAGGGAGAGAATGAGAACACTCAGCCACTCCTGGCTCTGGACTGAATTCTGGGTCACCCACACTCCTGCAGATCGTCGGCCTTCGGTGGCATCAGCCACCCAGGAAGCACATGTGCAACTCACCCCCACAGACACGTGCGTTTGGCTTAACACAAGGCCCTCCACTCCTGCCACCCAGTAATGACTGTCACCAGCCATTGGTCTGAGCAGCCAAAGTTGAACGAAGACCTGAGAGATGCTTTTTTTTCAGAGAGGGGATTGGAGGATGAAACAAGGCATTTACGTAAACAAGATTCCCCCTCTCCCATATTTATGGTATTAAATGAATTGAAAAAACAAAAACCAAATTTGATACACACACTGTATTAGGACAAGGATTTTTTTTGAGGCACTGCACAGAGACCCTCCCTAGTTTTTGCAATTTAAGATTAAGTGCATTTCCAAGTAGATACATCAGAATTAAACCATGCAGACCCAATTGTCAAGTTTAATGTAGTACAAAGCCGCGAGACAATAGAATCTCCAGTAATTTCCATTCTTATTGAATTATTTTCTTTGACCTCATCACCAGCATTGAATTGTTCAGCCTAAGAGTATGTTCTCGTAGGTCTGGCTATTTGCAGAATTTTTGCTTACTTTGAAATCCTGCAAAAATGATTTTGATGTCACATCTTTTGTCAGGCCACCAGCTGATTATCATGAGCTGACTTTAAAGAAGACACACAATTTGAAATATGATTATTTCACTTTAGCAATGTGACTTCCCACAGGCTGCATGTGTCTGCAGGGTGTGGGGGGGGTCTCATTGAAAACAGATGTCATTGATTAATGAATCCATTCAAGTTGCCTCACTTGGGTCACTACAGCAAAGAAAAGTGCTACTAAAGCATTTAATCCCCCTGCCCTCCTGCTACCAGTAAAGGTGTGGAAAAAGGGCCTGGCTGTAGCCGAGAAGGTAGGTATTCAATCATGGAGGAAGACCTTTAAGGATGGCTAAATATGCAAGTACTGAAAATAAGAGAAGACTAGGAATGCAGGATGAAATGCCAAAGATCATTTTATTTCTTTGTCTTTTCTCCTTAGAAATGGAGTCCCCAACTATCCATTCAAAGGAAATTAGATAAAAATAAACAGATATCATAGGAAATGATATCCTTACTTGTGCCATGTTTCCCCAAACCAGTTGTATGTTTCCAGATATCTCTTATTCTTCCAGCCACCTGCATGACATGGGCATTCACGGATGACGAGCTGGTGCTCAATGTCAAATAAAAAATATTTTAGTTGATAACGGGCAGTAAAATACAATTGCACATTTTAAGTATTTGGGAGGGTTAATTTGTTAGCAAAAGAATTCAAAGGAAAGAGGTGATTCAACTGGCCACGTTCACCCTCAACAGATATTACTAATCTTAACCATTTATTACATCTCTTTCTCAATGGATCTGGTGTTTTAAATTTTTTTGCTACTAGTAGAGAATAATACAGAAGTAATTTTTGTATTCCGCTCTTGAAATAAAATTGAAATCGAATTAAAAATATTTCTCAACCAATTTCATCACAGTATAAGTAAAATCTATTCATTTTGTGTAGACATTTCAAATAACAACATTGAAATAATTCTACCAATGCAGTCACTGAAACACTTTTCTTATATAACATGACATAGGGAAGAGAGATGAAGAATTAAAGTGAATTAGAAAACCCACTTTATTACTCGGGTTTATAAAATAGTTGTGGGATCCAAGTATTTAAAATGCTATTGGAGTCAATTCTTGCCAACACTTTGCAACAGTAATAACAATTCTGGCTTTTCAATTGGCAATATTTAGAATCCTACTGTAGTGACCTGATTTTAAATACCATATCACAATTACTAAGTTAAGAGCTAGTTTTCACTCTAGTCCATGATTTCATTAAATGAATGTAAGATGATGGTTCAACAATGACAACTTATACTTTGAATTTCTTTATGTGTATGCAATATACATACAAAAACCAAATTCAATAAGTGACATGAATGTTACTACATGAGCATTGGATTGTATTGTCCGTTGTCAGTCATTTTCTCTGTTCAATAAATACTGAAGGACACAAATACTTTTTTATTTTTTAAGAGTTTGCTTTTTCTTCTGGACTTTGGTAATTAATTTTGATATTTTTCCTCACATGCTTCTTCATCTATTTTAGTGAGATTTTTAACACTGGCAAGACAGAAGGGAACAAGACACATATTTTGCAAACTCTTCTACTGGAAGCTAATGTCTTTAAGGACAAGCAAAAAAGGGCCATTTCAATTTTAAAGAACTGTTTTTTAAATGAGATAAAGAAAGCATCCTCCTTTGTCCTTAGATGGAGAAGAAAGCACAAGTGTTTTTCTACCTGTGAATGAAATTTGCTAATCTGTGTGTCATTTCTTCAGCATTTTTGTTCATATTGGCTTAAAATTCAGTGCATGAATATCATTACATTCTTATTGCTAACATTTCTAGTTACCTTGATTTAAAAAACACAAAATTTAATGCATTAATACTCTATTACATTAATGATTGATCATCTTTAGAATGAGTAGGCAAGACCATTTTTCAGCTGTTATTTCTAAGCTGTGGGTAATATTAAAGCTAAACTGTGGATAACAATTGCTATTTCAAAGTGAGGTTTAAATGGCAGAAGTTTCTCAAGCCGGGACACGAAGAGTCTTCCAAACTCTTTCAAAGACAAATGCAATCTTGACACCCTAGACCCAGGACAAAGATCCTGGAGTTCTTGGTCTTCCACTCTGCCAACTTGCATATTTTTACAAAATTGTGATGGAAATCCTCTCAAGGACTTCATCACTCACATGGATCTACAACAGGCAATGACACTCATAGACAGAAAAGTGGCTAGGAGCCAGATGTCCTGGCAGCCACCTATCTACCTGATCCCAAGAAAAAATTTCTACTTGGAGAAATTTTACTTTTTTTTTTCAAGCCGTAATACTTGGCATTTAAAAAATTTACACGTGGCATTTTTATAACTCAATATAAAATGATTCCATGTCCTTTTTCAGTGTTAAAAGTTCCTCTTAGAAAGAAATATGATTTTGATAGCTCTCCCATTCACGTAGTGAGGAAAGAAATTAAGACATGGGCTCTTAATGAAGATAAAAAAGCAAATAGACTCACTGGATAGGGACCAGTACAGTTCACAGATATTTGCATAATTATATCTTTCTCCTTTGCATTAGGAAAATAAAACTTCTTTTTTCATATGAGTGTCTTTTACTAAAAGTAATTGAAAGAAGGAATATGAGTTCACCAGGAAAGTTACCATTAAACAGCCAGAAGTAAAGCATTTATACAGCTTACCGCTAAGATCAACAAAAAAGTAGTGGTATGCGATGACAAAATCATCTAGCTACCCTAGAAAAATATAACTATATAGAAAAATTATAAAGTAAAGCAATCCATTCACAGTTTCTACATATATTCTCATTGTACACTCATTCAGGCCTATTCTAAGTGGAAAAAACTCTTTGGCTGGCCAGGCAGAAGCTATCCTGTATTGACCTGAAATACAGGCATCAGATGGGTGTAGTCATGGGACAAAATACAGCAGCGTATTTTCTAAATGAATTGCAGCAAGGCAAATATTCCCTTTAGTGTCTTCTAACCCTAGGAAGAGGTTTAGAATTTTTCAGGCTGCAAGTCCAAGGAATTAAGGGCCTTGGTGTTCAAACTTCCATCCCCACACCCAAGGAGATAGATCTAGAAAGGCAGCCTCACTCCAGTGTGTCTTGAGCCAGCAGACATGCTAAATTGCAGGTAGGCTGCGTCTCTGCTGGGGCGTCAGCTCTGGGTGCCACACGTCCACGATGAATATCAGCCGGAAAGACGTGGCGTCCTGCCAGACCTCGTGCTCAAAGGAGTCGTCAAAGATGAGCACCTTGCCTTCTTCCCACGTCCTGGAACAGAAAAACATGGGTTCTTGTGATTCAGATGCCTGAGGATCGATTCATGTCCCTGTGCAGGAAGGCACTTTCATGATCACCTTTGCAAATGACCAGATAACTGGAACACCAAGCCAGGATTTATTCTTTTCCTTGGTGATTAAGAACGAATTTCAGGATTCTTACCAGGAACATCAATTTTCAACGCTCAGCACTGAAGGTGTACAAAGGGCAGGGGACCAGTGATCAGGGCATACTTATTCTCGGCACAAACCTAGGCAAGGCTTGTTTAGTCAGGCAAGCATTCAAACACGTGCCCCGGCGGCTCATGCCCAGAGTGACTTCCCAGTCAGTGACTCCATGGTATCCTCCCTGGCATTTCAGAGACTGGTTTAGACCTACAGACAGCAATTGGGGCGGGGGTGGGGTGGGTGGGTCTCAGGCATCTCTATGCCTCATGGGATACCTGGCATGGTGTTTGTGCATCTCCACATGATTCTCTTTTCAATCCACTCCATTTGTTAAAGTTCCATTTCATGGAAGAAAGTTCCATAAAGAAAGTCCCTTTATGGAACAGTAGATTGCTTATACTTCTAATGTCATCTGCTATGCAAGAGGGTTATCCACGGAATATTTTAAATCAATCCTGCAAAACATCCTTTAGGGCTAATAGCACTATTTCATAAAATATCTGTGTAGGAGCTGAGATCTACATATAGTGTTCAGGGAGAATAAATAAAACAGTTATCTGAACTGCTAAATAAAGCAGTTCAGAGAGAAAGATGCAGGAGTAATTACACAATGCCTTTTAAATTCAAAAAAAGTTTATTAACTATGCTAATGTTCCCTTTTTGTCCCCAAATTAATTGCCAACATATTAAATACTAAGTTATGTTTTTAAAATGAAATTTTTACTAGAAAATTTTCTTTAGATATTAAAATTCCACTCAAACATTTGAAATTTTATATCCTGGATTAGCAAATAATTAAAATTATAGGATGGAAAATGATAGCTTGATTTCAAGTTACTGCATTATCATAAGGAAGTTTTCCTTAGGAAAATGATTTGTGTCTTTTTATTCATTACTAGGTGATTAATCAACATTAAAGTAAGTAATATTACATATTTCAGGGTTTCTCAACCTTGGCACTACTGACATTTTGGGCCAGATAATTGTTTGTTGTGGGGGCTGTCCTGTGCTCTGTAGGATGTGTAGCAGCATCTCTGGCCTCCATCCACAAGATGCTAGTAGCACTCCCACCAGTTATGACAACCCAAAATATCTCCAGTCATTGTTAATGTCTTGGAGGGGTGGGAAAAATTCATCCCAGACATATGGAATGAATCTAACAGTAACATTTCCAAATTATTTAAATTAGCTGATCAAGTAAATGAATATTTGCAAGTTAAAAGTTCCTTGAAGTCAGGAGCCAAATCTCAATTCTGATGCCCCCCTAACCTTGTGTGCTGTCTCACATACCTAGCCTAATGTATTGCATTCAATAAACATGTGTTGCTTGGCTCTTTGATACAATTCCTCTGAAGGTTCAAAGAGTTCTTTGGAGTTCTATTCAAGTGTAACAAAGGACAGAAATATATAGACTCAGGAGCAAACAACAGAACAGGTATTCATTACCATGTAAAACCAAACTTGAAAAGAAAGGTAAAGCTAAGAAAAAAAAAAAGACAAAAAAAGGAAGTGAAATGGTCCATCGCTTATATAGATAGGTGGTCATTTTCCAGGTCATAGTGTTATGGGTGGGACTAAGCAATGTGAAATGGGTACCCCTGACAAGCCTACAATATAGGCAGAAGATAAGGGGGGGAAGTGCACTCAAAAGGGAAAAGCCATACAGCCATGTTCAGAGCATGATTCACAACAGCCAAAAGATGGAAGCAAGCCAAGTGTTCACTGACAGATGAATGAATAAATAAAATGTGGTATACACATACAGTGGAATATTACTCAGCCTTAAAAAAGAAGGAAATTCTGACACATGCTACAACATGGATGAACCTTTAGGACATTATGCTAAGTGAAATAAACCAAGACACAAAAGGACAAATATCATATGATTCTAGTTATATGGGGTACCTATAGTAGCCCAATCCATAGGGATAGAAAGTAGAATGATGGGGAGTTGTTGTTCACTGGGTACAGAGTTTCAGTTTTACAAGAGGAAAAGAGTTCTGTGGATGGAAGATGATGATGGTAGCAAAATATGAATGTACTTAATGCCACTAAATTGTATGCACATTTAAAAATAGTTAGGATGGTATGTTATGTGTATCTTACCACAATGAAATAAGAAAAAAAGGGAGAGGCAAAGGGGAGCATGTGGTGGAAGATAAAGGGGGAGAGAAACCCTATAGCGTGATGGAAAAGTCACAGTCTCTGAAGGGAAGCAGATTTAAAGCTCTTGGATCTGCCATTGACTAGGTGACTGAGGGTGACTTTCTTAGCATATTTCAGCCTTTGTATCTTCATCTGCATAACTGATGTGAGGATAAGCATATGGTCGGCAAATAATAGATATTCAATTAATGGAAGAGAATATAAAACAGAGGAAGGAAAATATAGAAAAAAATAGGAAAAAGATAAAAGATAGAGGTGATAATGTTGGGAAGTGGTAGAATATTACCAAAAATTGCCTTGGCGTCATTCCTTATGAATTTACCTTATGAATTTTCTCAAATTTCTCTTCATTTGAGAAAACTGAAAACTCCCCAGGGAGTGAGATACCAAAAATCTTTAAGAGAATCTGTGAAATATTTTGTGCTGCAATGACAAGTGATTCTCAACGTTTTTTGAGCGGCAGAGAATCTGGAACCTATTTAAAATACAGGAAGTAGTTAAAATAACTCAATAGAACATTCTAGATTGCAGAAAATGACATTTTCACTAGATTCTGATAGATATAAGAAAGCCAAAGATTTAGGAAGTGCTTTGTGGGAGAAAAATCTTGAGCATTTCATTCATTAACTTAAATTCCCTGTAAAGTGGAAAAAGCTTTTAGCGCTGGATCACACTGGTTCATTCATGGACACCAGTGTCTGTAAAAGTGGAACTTGTTACCACTGGTTTGTAGCTTTTCAGCTTTTTTAAGTGAAATATGGACTAGTATAAACCATCGATTAAACAATTTTTTAACAAAAAATCTAGGAGGTATTCCAAAGGTCTGGCTTCCTTTAGGTCCATAAAAATCATGGAGAAGTGTGTCCTCTTAGACTTATATTTGCCTTCCCATTTTCTTGCACACATTTTCGCAGAAAATAGTAAAGATACTCAATTACTTAATGTAGATTCTCAAATGTAGATTGCTTCTGAATACTTAAAAAATGGTGTCTTTCAATCACCCAGCAGAACTAGAATGACTGAAAATGCAGCCCTCATTAACCTAAAAGGGGAAAAGGGAAGGACAATAAAACCCTATTCAAGGGACTTGCAGAATGAAGTGACTTGGGGTTAAACTAGAGATACATGACCTGCCTGGGAAAGGACAAGGGTTTTACACAACAAAAAGAGACAGAGCATAAAGATGTCAAAGGTCTTTGGCTCTCTTCTGAAGAAAAAACAAAGACTCTCATTGCAATGCAAAGAAATAGCTTTCAGGCCACTTGCTTTGTGAGCAAAGTTCCACCAAATATGATTAAGTTATGTGCAAATTATGACAAGGAAAGGGCTCTCTGGAGAAAAGACTTTCAGGGCAGCCTTTGAAAGAAGCTTCCTGAAGGTGCTCACACAGCCTTTCTCCGAGGGTTCAGAAAAGCAGGATTGGAGATGGGGAGCTGGACCCCACCTCTGGACAGCTACCTTGGCGTACTTTTAGAATTTCTTACCATGATGAGAACGCCTCTCCCTGGTTTGCCAAAAGATAAAGAATATCTGGTCACAAGATAAAGCAATATTATATAATTCCTCAATTGCTCAAATTATTATAATTGTAATTAATGATAATGATATAACAACGGCAGCACATACCTAATAACTATAATTTTGTCATAGAATTACCACCAATATTAATAATGCTAAGTAATGATACTAGGTGCTTATAGTTTGCCTCCTAAAAACTTCATAGATCACATCTCAGTGACCTTTGCTCAAATGTTCTGAGGCAGGCAAATGACACGGTTCTAATTTTCCAGGAAGGGAATCTCATGGGAGCAAGTTCAGATGTCTGCAGTGATGGTGTGATTCTGTGGAAGAAGCAGAAAGCCATTCGACTTGCTTCATCACAACCCAAACCTTTAGTTCAAGGTCACGGTACCAGGGGCTATTCTTAGCGCCCACAGCTGCTATGCTGAGGTGGCCTGTAGGGCATTTAAACAGGCTGAGTGGAATGCAGACAAGGGTCAAGAGCTCAGGAACAAGGCTACTTAACACAGCTCTTACTAATTCTGATCTCCTGAGATCCCTCAGTTCTGGCTGCATTAGAAATCCGGGCACAGACTGGAACTGAAATGTAAAACTGTATTATTACCACCTCCTCTCTCTCTCTCCTCCCAATACACACAGACAGGAACATACACACGTTCTTTCTCTCTCTCACACTGTATATCTATCTGGACAGCATTTTTCTGGACGCTAGGACACCTGTGTTCTCGTTCTGACTGCTGCTAACTAGCCATGTGACTAAGACAAAGCACTTTACCTGCAGGCCTCAGTTTCCCCATGTGTAAAGACAGAGGTGGGCATGATGGCCTTTAAGGCTACTTTCAGCACTAAAATTCTCTTAATTCTCTGAGTTGAGCTGTTGGTTAGGACTTCAGTCTTCATATTACATTTCATAGGATATATTTAACAAGTTTCCTCTGAGAAAGGTATTTGCTGAGAATAGTATTTGCTATTTTGTTTAATGTCAAAATATTAATTTCAATAAAAGATGGCTAACTTCACAAAGAATCTCTTTTCCTGACAGGTTCTGTATTTATGCACCTCTAGCAGATGTCACAGCCGCTCCTGGGGAGAGCTGTTCCAGCCAGGCTGCCACAGGGCTTCTCTCCCTTCCAAAGA